ACAGATAAGCCTTGCTCTCTCAGGCTTCTTTCCCTCCCTTGGGAGTCCATTTCTAATACTGTGACCAGTGTGGTGGGGAGGTTCCAGGGCTGCAGGTGCTGGGCTCAGGCACTCTTTCCTGAGAGGGAGGGAGGCTGTGGGCCGCCATGGGACTGGGGGGCTGGGAGTGGAGTATATCAGTTGCTAATCCCCGGCCTGCTGAGGTCACCAGTCTCCCTGATCTCCTTACGGTGACCCTGGGTACTGGCAGCCCCTAATCTCCAACTCCGGAGATCCAAGTCTAGTCGGCAGGGCAGTGCCCTCTTCCTGGAAGTTTTGGGGGGAGGGAAGAGTCCTCTCACTTTGCAGACACCCCTCGTGGCAAGACCCTGCAACAATGGGCTCAAGCATAGCAAGGATGGTGAGGATGGTGCCCGAGCGGGCAGTGTTTCTTCTGCTGTACACAGGCTCCCTGTGAGTCAGAGCTGACTCGACAGCACCTAACAACAACAGTGACAAGACCTGGGGCCCTGACCAACACACGTGGGAGCCCCAAAGCCTAGAGAGAGACAACAGCTAGTCCAGGGTCGCGCAGCCTGAGATCGGCTCAGCAGCCATCATCCCCAGTCAGACCTGGCATGGCCACCTCCAGGAGGCCCAGCTCCTAGACTGAGCTGCTGCCTGGAAGGCACAGCCTTTTAGGAGGCCGAGTGGGAGTGGCTAGTGCCCAGGAGCCCAGGAGCAGGCTCTTCTCTCAGAGCCTGTGGTCACCAGGGTTGCCAAGGAGCAGGTGCCTCACAATCAGGCTGCAATGGCCATTGTCTCTGCAGAATGTTCCTTTCTTCTCCGGCCATCCCATGAGGCACTGGGGCCTGGCCCACCTCACTTCCTAGCTCCTCTTGCCATTGAGCAGTTGGAAGAGCAGGAGGTCCAGGCCCTGTGTGTCACAGCTGAGGTAGCTGCTGTCAGTAGGTCAGAAGCAGGGAGCCCTCATTTCCCTTCTCTCAGTACTGTCCACTTTCCCTCCCCTCCCCTCCAATCTCATCCCCTGAGGCAGCTTCCCCCGCCCCTCATCTTGCCTTCTCCCTCCTTCCTCCTACCCACCTACCTCCCCCCTCCAATTATCAGATGCTCTAACTCAGGGTCAGGAAGAAATTAATTTGCATCCACAAATTCTCACTAAAGTATAAATGATTATAAGGCTTCTAGGTATATCTGCTTTTAAAAGGGAGGAACTTGGTAACCAGCAACGCTCTTCTAGTTCAAATCTCTCATGTTTCTCCCTTTCTTTAAAACTTGTCTATGTCTCCCTGCAGAATTCTGGGTAAAGGCCAGACCTTAGTCAGGGCCAAAAAGTCTGTTATTAGTCACCCAGAGGCATATGACATACTGAACTACGTTCTGAACTCACCTGCTGCTACCTCTTCTGCTCGTTATTTAAGATTAGACACAAATGCTCTTTTGGGTCATTTCCTGACTGCCCCACCCTCCAGCCCCTCAGTACACTCTGCCCACAGCCATGGCCCGCATCATCGACCTGGTACCCTGGGA